CTTTCTCTCTTTCTCACCCCCCTCATTTCTCACCCCCTCCTTTCCTCACCCCTACCTTTGCTGTAGCGTGGCCGAGCTGTAGCGTGGCCGAGCCCTGTATAGTCGGCGGGTACAGAGAGCAGCTGTCTCCTGTACCCGGCCGGACTAACAGGAAGTGCACACAGAGTGCAATGTAACCGTTACACACAATGCATCCCTTACACACACAGAAACACACAATGCATTCATTACACACACTCAATGCACTCTGTGTGCACTTCCTGTTAGTCCGGCCGGGTACAGGAGACAGCTGCTACCTGTACCCGCGGACCATGCTGCAGGGCTCGGCCATGCTACAGCAAAGGAAGCTGACAGGAGGGAGCGCTCAGCGCTGAGCGCTCCCTCCTGTCAGCCCCTCTCCTCAGGCTGCGCCCGGGCGATGCGGTCCGCCCTCATGGACGCACCGCCCGGGCAAAGCTGCAGCCGCCTGAGGCTCACTACAGAGCGCTCGGGCGGCTGCAGCATGGGGGGTGGCGGCGGGGCTGGTCATGGCACCCCCCATCCTGCTGGCACCCGGGGCGGACCGCCCCCCCGCCCCCCCTTAGTACGCCACTGACTGGCACTATGCCTTTTGGCCTCCAAAAGGAGACACCAGGTTAAAACCTCAGGGACCCTGATATAGAGACTGTTCTACTGAAATTGTTACAGCTAGGAGGCCTGAGATGGGGTTCCGACAACATATTCCCATCATCTCCATCACACAGAGAACTACACCTTCGGAATGCATTCTTAGAGGCCTCTGGAAAGAGGGAGCAAAAGCATACTGTGTACTGAAAAAGAGGACCTTAACGTTTAACATTTCGTTTTCCTATATTTTTTTAAGTAGGAAATCCTCTTATTGTACAGTCTGTGTATTTTCAAAGATCTCAGAAGAGAGCCATTATATTTTATTGGGCAAAAAAATATGGGTATTATGGTCTACCTAGATACAAACCTGCCCCACAGCAAACTTGCCACGCCGTTTTATGCCAACAAGAATCCATTTACTTATTTTCACCTATACCTCACCTTTTCATTACGTGGCTATAAAAATCATACTTCACATAATCTTGCACGATCACTAAGGTTTATACAGGATATCTCCCTGACTTATTCTTAGGGGAAGATCAGGTAAAACAGGTGCGATTCGGGTTTAAAGTGGAAAATGTTAAGAGACCTTCTTTTGGTTTCCATAGTGAGTGGGTCTTATTTAGTATGTTATCCTAGAAAAGCAGCTGTTTTTGCCTTGATAAATATCCCACTAATTAGTCTCTGTTCATAGATTCATATTTTGGCTTCTGTCTCTTGATACTTTCTTGTTAATCTAACATGGCATTTTGCGTATCAAACTCAACTGTGTTTATTGCATTTATCATTCAAACGTCTTGTACCCTGAACCTCACAAATATAATGTTTAGCTGTTTCTTTAGACTGTTCCTTTTGTAAATGTCATCAATTCCAAACATTCCAAGTGTCTGTAATACATCTTTCTTTGCATTTATTCTACTTTTGATAATTTCCTCTTTAATTTCTTAGTATATGTATTATTGCCTCACCTTCTTTGCTGTGGGTGAGCTTATTAAAGCTAGTGCCTTCCATGTCTTATAGTCCTCTTCCATCTACTTTGGGCTGCTTTGACTAGGGGGTATTTATTAGAGATCTGGGAACTTGGGAATGCCACAGCTTCTAACTTCTTCGGACTACTATTCTAATGCACTAGTAGAAAAGACAGAGTAAGTTTTGACGCTCTCCATTAACACAGCACCCCTCCACACAAGACGTTAGAAGAGGGGGCTTTGGATGAACTAACCTTGGTTATAAGAAGGTCCAGAGGAACCCTTATTTTTGTTTCTCCACATGTACCTTCTGCACATATATTGGGGCTGCAGCCACTCATCTACCACATTCTAGGGACCCACAACACTAGATTTATTTTTATTTTTTATTACTCTGCTTACATTTATTTTTGGATAGTTGGGTGGATAACTTAACAATGCCCAAGTTTAACTTATTATATTTTTATTAAATTATTTTGTAGTAGTCATTTTTTATTATCATCAAAAAAGCATGTTTATGTATACAGAGGGTCTTAGTTTTGTCCTCTTTTTATTTGCTTGTATGATGCAGATAGTGTTGCCTTAACAGCAATAGCTAATAAAATTGCATGCCCTTTGATATTATTTAAGTACATTTGTTTTTTCATGTCACAAAAAAAATGAATTGTAGCAAAGGGAAAAAAATGTGAGTTTAACGTAGTTTGAAATAGCCACGCTATGACAAGAACAAAGTTGGAAATAATATCCAAATAAGCTACCGTATGTTGGCCTAGATCTTGGAATTTGCTTTTTAATTCTATGTTCCATAGACTGTCACATTCTTCCTTTGTGAAAAGTGCTCTGTGCATACAAATAGGTGCTTAAAGTAAAAATATATTTGAAATGCCGATCTATCAGCTGCTTCAACACTGTTGTGGAGATCTGTCCAATCCACCAAAAAAGTATTGTACAGATAAAGGGAATTAAAGGGAAACATCCACCATTAATCCCTTAAGTGGAGTGCTTAAGATATGGGTATCGGTAAGTCCAATATAGGTGCATAAAAAAGGGGGAGAGAAAAAAATCCAATAGTGAAGTATATTGAGTACTGTGTGACTTATACAGAAATGTATAAAGAGCAAACTCGCAAGTGAAGAGTCAAATGTAGGACTGGCTCAAATCATGACCACTTTGGTGTATTAAGGTGACACCCTCCCTCTTCTTTCTTTCCTTGTATGCTCAAACACAGAGGGATTGCTTATAGTGTAGTAAGTCAGGTGTCATATATAAATGAATAAATAAAATAATTGTGCTCACCTTTTTAAGAGCCAATATAGATAACTTAGCTCTAGGTAAAAAAAGTTTGTTACCCACTAAAGGGGGTATACCTTCTTTGTTGGAGGTAGATGGAGTCTGCAGCCAATGGGATTTTTAAAAATCCATTGGATAAATTTATTTGAACGTAAATACACACATGAATATAAAAATAATAACATATTGTCATCATATAAGGCTTGCTCCCTTCGAGACGCGTTTCGCCCCTTCCTAGGGCTTTCTCAATCGAAGTTATCACATTTTCTTCTCACTTCCTCCTTTTAAACTCGTGTCTTGCTCCGTGATTCGTCCTGTCTATTGTTCCTCATCCAATCCGACTTGTGGGAACTGCAACCAGTGGGACTTTTAAAAATCCACTGGATAAATTTATTTAAATGTAAATACACACATAAATATAAAAAATAATAAAATATTGTCCTGATATAAGGCTTGCTACCTTCGAGATGCATTTCACCCGTTCCTAAGGCTTTCTCAATCAAAGTTATCAAATTTTCTTCTCACTTCCTCCTTTTAAACTCGTGTCTCGCTCCGTGATTCGTCCTGTCTATTGTTCCTTATCCAATCCGACTTGTGGGAACTGCAACCAGTGGGACTTTTAAAAATCCACTGGATAAATTTATTTAAATGTAAATACACACATAAATATAAAAAATATTTTTGTGGGATAGTTTTGTTTTCTGGGTCCTGTAGAGCCGTCCTGCTTCAGTTCCTGGTGTCTCATTCAGGGACACCAGGGAACTGTCCTCTGGCTGGTCAGAGTGAGCGTATCATTAGACGCTCTTGGCCTGTGCAACGGGCACTTGGATCATTCAGAGAGCACTTTAACTTGACTCTCTGCATGGTCTTCTATTTAGGGAGCTGGCCAGGAGGCTGTCTGTGAGCCTTGTGTGTTTGTCGCCAGGTTCACATGCCCCTTCAGTTAGTGGGCCCACCTACTTTCCAATTTAGAGGGTTTCATTGGTGACACACATTTGGAAGGCCCGCTCCCATCCCGATTCCAGCCAGGCCAAAGTAGTTCGGTATGCTTTCCCTTTAATCTTTAATCTTTCAGCTCACATTTTTTCATATTTAATTCCCCCCAATTGTTTTTCTTTTCTTTACTAATCTATTAGCCTTTTTTTCTCACTAACAACAACAAAAATGATTCATTTTCTCTGAAAATATTCAATAAACTCTAACCAGCTGTTTTTTATATAATACACAATAATGTATTTATGTGTGTACAACAGAACAAAAAGTTCATGGGTCTCCATGCATGGTACATACATTGTCTACTACATAGCAGCAGGAATAATAATGAATTATGTCTTGAAAAAAATCCACATAAAGTATTCAGACATTGATTTTGTATATCCTGTTATATACATATACTGGGCAATTTAAAGGAACACTCCAGACCCCAACTTTAGCTTGATGAAAAGCTTTATGTGTTAAGAGTGTGT